AAACTACTTGGCTTGTGGAGAGGAGCCTTCTCATCTAGACCCTTACTACAAGAAGAAGTTCATGAGAGACATCTCTCATTACTTTTGGGACGAGTCATACTTGTACAAAAGAGGAGTGGCCAACTTGTATAGAAGATGTGTTTCAAGAGAAGAAGCACAAGACCTTCTTCTACATTGTCACGGCTCTTCATATGGTGGTCATTTCGCTTCTTTCAAGACTGATACAAAGGTGTTACAAGCTGGCTTTTGGTGGCCATCGCTGTTCAAAGACGCTCATGAATATGTTAAAGCTTGTGAAGCATGTCAAAGAGCTAGAAACATCACGAAGAGGAGAGATGCCTCAGGTGCCAATCTTTGAAGTTGATGTCCTTGACGCATGGGGGATAGATTTTATGGGTTCATTCCTATCTTCTTACGGCAACAAGTTCATCTTGGTGGCGGTTGATTATGTGTTTAAGTGGGTTGAGGCTATAGCTTCCCTAACAAACGATGCAAAAGTGGTGATCAAGCTCTTCAAGACCATCATCTTCCCACGGTTTGGAGTTCCAAAGGTAGTGATAAGTGATGGTGGAAGCCACTTTATCAAAAAGGTGTTTGAAAGTCTCTTAAGGAAGTATGGCGTGAAGCACAAGGTAGCCACACCTTATCATCCTCAAACTAGTGGGCAAGTAGAAGTCTCAAACAGGCAGATCAAGGCAATACTAGATAGGACAGTTGGGGCTACTAGAAAAGACTGGGCGGTCAAATTCGATGATGTTTTGTGGGCTTACCGGACCGCTTTTAAACCACCCCATTGGTACTACTCCTTTCACTCTTCTTTACGGCAAGGCATGCCATCTTCCTGTTGAGTTGGAGCATAGGGCACTATGGGTAGTGAAGCAGCTGAACTACAACCTCAAGACAGCTCAAGAGAAGCGGTTGATTCAGCTACATGAGCTTGATAAGCTACGGTTGGAAGCCTACGAAAGTGCTAAGATCTACAAGGATAGGACCAAGGCGGCTTATGACAAGAAGCTGGTACATAAGGAGTTAAGAGAAGGCAGTCTGGTGCTACTCTACGACTCGAGGTTGAAGCTGTTCCCTGGAAAGCTCAAATCTAGATGGTGTGGACCATTTGAGATCAAGGAGGTTCTTCCCTATGGAGCGGTTACGTTGGTTGGCAAGAGCGGGAATGCTTTCACGGTCAATGGGCACAGAGTCAAGCCCTACTTGGCGAGTGATTGCAGCAAGGAGAGCACCACAATGCTTCTCCAAGACCCACCTCAGGCCTAAACCAAGTAAAGTCTAGCTAAAGACGTTAAAGAAAGCGCACTTGGGAGGCATTCCCATGTTTATCTTGTACATATTTTTGCTTTCTTTCTATTTCAGTTTTATGCTTTTATTGTCTAAGTGTGTAGGTATAAGGATAAGGGATTATAAGCCGTGGTCTTGGGCTCAAAAGAAGTGAGAAGGGTTAAGTATAGGCTAGAGATCGAGTGCTATATCGACTCATCCTAGCTCGATCTTAACTAGATCGAGCTAGTGAATCGAGAAGAGTCAGTCGATCTAGACGAGATCGAGTAGACAAATCGAGTGCAACGGTCGATCACGAGAGGATATACCACCTATGCGTTTAGCTTGAAAAGCAAACTAGGTGTAGATTGACCGAGTCACTCGATTCTCAAAGATAGATCGAATAGTCTACTCGATCTGCCACTCGATCTAAGCCAAAACGACCCTCAAATCGACCATGTGGCTCGATCCAAGTTGACCAAAAGTCAAGGAACGAGAGGGTACAATCGATCTAAGACTCAATGCAATTTGAATCGAGTCCCTGATCGATCAAACCTCTCGATCCTAGCCAACATGGGCATGAGATCGAGTCCTAGATCGACCAATTGGACTCGATCTCGTGCCGAGGTAAGTATTTTCTTTTCTTCTTATCTTCTTTCCCTCCTATTTTTAAATTTGAATTGTGGTCAAGGCAGGAATCTTTGACCATGAAAGATGTGCCTTGACCACACTTTTGTCAGAAAACCACTAGTTTTGCCCATGGTTTTGTGTTTTTGTTGGCCTTTATATTTTCAAGCAAACACACACTCTCTCATATTTCATGTTTCGAGTTTTCTAAGCAAGAGAGAGTGTGATTTGTTTTTCCTAAAGGCTAACAACTTCTACTTTAAATCTTTGCAAAAGGTATTTTCGGGTCTTTGTTTAAAATCTTTTAGAAAATTTCCTTTTAATTGCTTTGATTGATGTTAGAGGTTAGGGAGTTTAACGATTTTTTTTTAAACTAGCTAGTTATTAGGAAAAATTTTAGATTTAATCCTATGTCTAGATCTGCTTCTCTACTATCTTGCTATAATTTTTATAAATTCTCCAAAAATCTAGGGTAATAGTTAGAAGCTTTTCTTTCTTGCCTAGTCTTTCTCTCAATATTCGCCGCCTTTGCTCATTCTCTTGCTTGAGAATTGTGTTTCAGGTACTATGACTCCTAAGAGAACAAGAGAAGAGACAACACAAGAGGGAGAGGCTCAAGACGTGGTTCAGGAGAGGGTTAGATGGACCAAAGAGGAGAAGCAAGCCAAGAAAAGGCTGGAAAGGCTTAGATTCGATCCCACGAAGTTTGCAAGCAGAGATCTGTTGGCTAAGATGGGGATCTTGGGAGACTTCGATCAGCTTCTCAAGAACATGGGGCTCCGGTGTTTATCTCGTATGGATTGTCCAACATATCCCGAGGCGACAATCGATTTCCTAGCCACCTTGGAGTTCATATATGAGAACCCGAGTCTTCCTACTCCTTCCCAAGGCCACATCACCTTCAAGATCAGACGTCAAGCTTATCATCTCTCAATTCAGGAGCTTTGCCAAGCCTACGGTTTGAAGGCTGATGCTAAACAAGTGGAGTTTCCCTCTTTCACTCTAGCTAGCGACCTGTGGGACCTCATAAGCAACGATGACTACAAGGCGAACACAGCAAAGATCAAGAGAGTGAGGAGTCCGGTGCTAAGATACACGCTCAAGCTGATCGCCAACACCTTCAGTGGACGGTCCATGGCTCCCACAGCCACCAAGAACAAGCTTTGCTTCTTGTTCCAAGGTATTAAGCACCTCCTTTGCGATCCTAAGGAGAATGACGAGCCGATGGAAGACGAGCTCGGCGACGATGTGAACTACGGATGCATCTTAGCCGCCTCCTTGGTGAAGTACAAGGCGTATGCCTTGCGATGCAAGGCGAGCTCAGCTTTGATTGGAGGCTTCCTCACGCCTATGTTTGTGCAAGCCGGAGTGCCACTTGCTGACTTTGTACCTGTCGTAGAGAGAGCCTACATGGACAAGATCTACATGAGAAATACGGACAGCTTGGGAAGCACACTAGCCGAGGGTTTCTACGCCTACTTATTCATTGACTGTGATAATGAGAAGCGAGTTTGCATATTGTCGAACAAGGAAGAAACCGAGCTGCAAGGAGTTGGCAACATCGAGTTCATGCCGAGTGTAGAGGAGTGCTTTGCACCTCTAGGAGGAACAGCTGCTCCAGCACTAGCTGCTCGCCCACGGTCAGAGTCCCCCACATCAGATGCTGAGATGCCCGAGAGCTTTGTCCTTCCCAAGTTTGACTTTGAGCCGAGGACAAAGGCGGAGAAGTTCCTTGCTTCTGTTGTAGAGATGCAAAGGATAGTAAACAAGTTTTCTGCTCATAGTTCTATTGGCATTTATTCATAACTCCTTTGGATTGATAAAAATTTTATGCTATACTACAACTGATTAATACAAACAGAGTAATTGAGAAAGAGAGTCAAAACTCTTGTATCACAATTTCGAAACATATAACTTGGGTAATTTCAGAAAAAAATTAGGATAATTTTAAGATATTTTGAAATAAATATATTGAAAATTTTAATTTTTAATTTTTGTTATAAATGGATAATCTGGGAACTTGATCTCACAGCTGTTTTTTTTTTCATACCATTGTCCTACATATTTAAATAAAATAAATAGTTATAGATGACAATTATTTGTCGTAATACAAATAGGAAACCCACCCTAAAACTTTCAGGGCTAGATTTCTTTTTTTATATATATTCTTATTCAAAAAGTTACAAACATATTTCAATCCACTAAAATAGTATGTACATACATAAATTTAATTAAATATAATATTTTAATCCCATACTATAGAGCGGTTAGTAATCTAGTCATATTAATATGGCTCACATGCATTTTTATATTTCATAATATTTACTTAATCAGCAAAAACGACGCTTTCTTCTCAAGTTTGATATTCTTGATATCTCTTGGGCTAGTACTCACTATGTTCCTTAAGAAATGATGTTAGAATTCAAGATAAATAATTGAATTTACTGAATAACTGTTTCTTAGAATTTATTAGGAATTGTTAATCACAAAAAGCAATAGATCTATAGTCAAGTTTTATTATGTTTTCTTAGTATGTGTAAAATTATAAAACATCTATATGTTTAAAGAAAAAGGGAGTATATAACCTAAATTGTTTTTTGTCTCAGTTGACTACCAATTTCATATAAATATTGAGATAACTTATGATTTACAACTTCAAGAAAACAAATGAAAATTATAATTACACTAATTATTATTTAATTTAAAAATAAAGGTCAAGATTGAAAGATTAATATCGAATTTAGATTAAGAGTAATAAATAAGAGGCTAAAATACTGCAGACCATTACTCTTTGTCCATGTATACATTTTTTCAGCTCGCAATGTAACAAAATTACTCAAGCAGCAGTTTCTAATCTCTGCACTATCTTTTGAGGGACCAAAACTCTTTTCCTCTACAATAAATAAAGAAAAAGAAGCCATTGTTATCTTAAATCTTTTGAAAACAGCATTTCAAACTGCCGGCAACCTCTTCAATATCTATATTCGAGCAATATTGCGGGGTACCGTGCGATTTCATTTTTTCAAACATTTGACATTCAATAGTCGAAACCTTAAATGCCAAACACATGCTTGATATTCCAATGTACAATAAAGTTCTTGGTGGATCTTTAGATTTTTCGTCTTTGAACATGTGTAGGTAATGCGTGTTACTTTTTTCTCATTTGTCTTCAATGAATATCTTATTTATAAAATCTCTAAACCTTCGAGAATAAAGCTTAGGATCAACAGCTGAAATGGAAGTGGGATCTGCATGGAGTGACTTGTAGGCGTGCTCTAATTTTTTCGTGATATCATAGTCTTGAAGAATGTCAATTATACCGAAATACAGGATCACTTCAACCACCTCCTTTCTCGTACTCTTATGATTCAAGTTGTCATTTTCGCCATCTTCCCACGCCTCTTCCTTCAATCTGCTCATCTGTTCTGCTTTTGCTGGTGTACTTTCACCTAGTCTTATTAAGGGTCCATTACTACATTTTCAGAGACATGATATTATATGTCAAGATGATATATGTATATACTTTTTTTTCAACAACATGCATGTATAATGTAAATGAATACAACGACAACACTAACACAAACTACTAGCTAACAAAAATTACTAGTTTGGTATCTCTTATTGAGTATATTTTTTGGTTTGATAGAAAATACCTAGTTTGGGTGACAGAGTCCATATTCGGAAGTGAATTATAACCTCTCATCAACTTGTCCTCTTGATCTCTTCGACCTTATTAAAGTAAGCAAGAAACTAATTTCTCAGTTGAAAGAAGAATATACACACACACACAAATTGAAATAAATGTAAAAATGATTAATACCGATGCCCAAGGAAATATCGTCACGCAGGCAAGTGTCACGGAAATGGAGACCAATCAAGAGACTATAATCCATAATCCTCTCAGCTTCAAGGAACTCACAGTCGATATCGATTTGGTTAATAAAGGCATGAAACCATGAGGTCTCGAGTCTAAACACATACTTGAGGTCCAAGTCTTTGAGTGTTGTGGTTTCATCGATTTCACCTTCATCCTTGTCGATGGTACGACCGTGTGATGAACCTTTCAAGTCAAATCGTTTTTGTATACGATACTCCGAACAAAATAGATTGCCCATCACTATGAATCGAGTCTGTTATTTTTTTTTTGTCACAAAACAACAACAAGTATGTTTTTATTTGATTTGACCAAACAAAAATATATGTGTTATTATATGATGTCATCAACAAATGTGTAATAGAAGAAAATTTCTCATACCTTTTGGCCTCCTACTGGTTTGACGCAGTGCACGCCAAAAAACTTGGTGACTAATGAGTTCTGGTATTTGGAAACATGCTCATAATAACTTGGGAGCATCTTAAGCAACACCTAAGCATGGTTTACAAAGGTCATATCATATTGTGTTATCAAAGTTAATGTGAAAGCAAAAAAAAATATCATATTAATTAGTTACCTTAATTTCAGATTTCTTCATAGTTTTGATCATGAACCGTTCGTCTTGAGTCAAATAAAAGGAGCTTCCACTCTTTCCAGGCGAAGAAAACTCCCGAAGAGATTCATCTCCACAAATAGCGAGCATATAGTCCGCTGGATCAATCGTGAATAACTCTCTTAGATGCCTGTTTCACCAACAAAGAATCTTAAAACAACTAGATATTTGATTCCTTTCTCAATATCAGATTACAAACTCGTAGACAGTATATTTACTTACCTAAACACAATGGGGCAATAGTCTTTCCATTTAAAATCGACTGATAGATGGGGAGGTGTAGACTTAGACCCTTCTGGTGGAAACCTGGTCCATTGTTTATCCTTGGGATCAAAATCACAATGCCTAAGTTCCCTCAAAACCGAAGCATGTTTCCCCACAGAATATCTAATCCCAAGCTGTAGATTCAACATCAAATCATAGTTTCTATGTCCAGCCGTAACGGTATGTCCCGGTTTTTTAACATCTCCTTCATCCAACCATCTCGGACTTTTCTGCAAACTCATGGCACCACCACTCTCCAAAAGCAAAGGGCTTCTTGACCACTCATATTCCCCACAACCGCTCGCGTTATCACCTGTATCCGACTCACTTGTGTATGGACTCAACATCGAACCTGCCTCGACATTATCACATGCGTTTGTATCCTCCAGTTCGGATATACAAATCCGCGGAAAATTCGTGTTCTTTGATAAAGTTTCTACAGAAGAGAGCTTTTGATGCACACTCTCATCATCTTTCTTCTTCTTCCTTCCCCACCCACCAAACTGATTATTACTTGCCTTCTCCTCGCTCCAACTCAAAACCCCTTTCCCAATAGGAGCTCCATTTTCCCATAGACCTTCGTAACGGTTTCCGTTAGCCCAAGTCATGGCTCCTTTCCCTGAAATAACACCGTTCTTCCATTCTCCCACATACTCATTCCCATCGCTCCACACGTAACGTCCGTTACCGTCTTGTAGATTCGCTTTCCAATTCCCTTGGTAAACGTCGCCGTTCGCGTACCTCTTCTCTCCATAGCCATGCTTTCTCCCCCAAAGCCAATGCCCTCTATAAGTATCACCGTCGATTCCTATGAACGTTCCTTCGCCGTCCATTCGACCATCCTTAAACTGACCCTCGTAGGTAGCTCCAGACGGCCAAGAGAAACGTCCTTTCCCACTCGCTTTGCCACGTGTCCACTCCCCTTCATACATACAACCATCTGACCAGAGATATTTCCCTGTCCCATGAGGAACCCCAGCGGATAAGCCTCCGTTGTAAAGATCACCGTTCTTCAGCACCTTCTCCACTATCCTAATCTCTGTCGTCGTGTCACTCAGCTCGCAGTTTGTTGTGGGGACCACACGGCGAGAGCTCTGTTTGTATTTTGTGCCTCCGCCGCTACGTCCCCCTGAGGATTGCCCTATGTTTAGATTCTCCTCACTGAAGAGGAATACAGTCTCTTGCATTTTTTGTATTTGTTACTGTTGTTACTTTTCTCTCGCCGGTGACCCACCGCCAAAGTTAGTAACTCCGACATTTCTTGTTGACTTTTTGTCCGGCTTGTATGTTTCTTCCAATGAAAGCATTTATCATTAAAAAATTCATGCTCTGTAATTATTGGGAAAAAAATACAAAAACTGTGATCAGTGACCGTTAGACCTCACTTGTTTCCTAAAATCTGAATTGGTTTATTGTAATCAATAGCAAATATTTATCTTGTATCAAACAAGAAAAGAAAAATCTCACTGTCTTAACACTACCGAGAATCGCCCATCCTTTATGCTCACTATAATTTGATTTTCTGTTTCTTTCTTCAAATTAGTATCTAAAATGTAAGGGAAAAAATCAAACAAACAAAATCTTACCCTTACCTTATATCAATATCAGATTTTTGACTGGCAAACGGAATAATCAAATCGACTATGCAAGAACGCATCCAAATGATGGAATTGATGAACCAATTAGATTCATCAACTTGATCAAAAACTTTTTAGCAGAGAATAAAGGTTGAAGGAATGATTTATCAGAGACTTAGGGATGGTGAAACTCATCAGTTCTATGATGAAAATGTGGCCGTTAGATGCGTATCTGCTGTTCTTTTGATTATTTATGTAGCCGGCTACAAGACTACGTGCTGGCCTCTACCATATGATCTTTTTAAATCTTACAATATTTAAATCTGATTATAATAAGTCATTTGTTATGCCTTTCGTTTATAATTATTAGGCTTCGAGAAAATTTAGTACATGTTTCAAACTCATATAAGAATATCCGGTGCTTTTAGGTGGAGCTAATAGACAAGTATGTAAGATATAAACAATGTTTTTGAACGTGCTTCAAGCCTACAATCTGGTCTTACATCATGTGCTACAAGTCATAAATTGATACTATTCTCATCTCTGCTGGGTCACAACTCATAACTCACAAGTCAAAACAGAAAACCGCAATTAGTTTACCAGCTTTCAAAATTTCCTAATTCACATGTCACAAGTCAAAGCACAAACCAATATTTTGTTTACCCAATTTTTTCTCTAATCTCTTATATATTAATTAATTGAGAAACATTTTTAGAGATTAACTTTATTTTTGTAACTAATTACGGTGTTGTCATTTTGCTGATGTGTCATCATTACAGAACTTCTCAAAAAACTTTTGAAAAAAGACTTTTGTTACTAGAACAATTACATAATATACTATTTATATTGATTTCTTAGACCATAATTTATATCAATTATATATATACATAATTTAACATTTGATTATAAAATTATTTTTTTTCTTTCTATTTTTAGCAAAAATAACATCATATTAATTATTTCTTTACACTATGTTTCTTCTCTTGCTATTATTTAAGTTTATTTTTCTGAAAAAACATAAATCGTCGCATCATTTACATGTTAAAAAATATATAAATTTTTTTGTACATTGTTAGAGATGAGATTCGTACCGTCTCTAACAAGCCCGATATGAATTCTAATCGGCCCATCTAACAATTCTCAGGTCGGCAACATAAAAGGAAAGCTTCCATTTATCAAGCGACCCGGAGAAAAAGGAAAGTCCTTGCCGACAAGAGTTTCCTATTCCGAACAGGATGAAGACCGACCTGATCGGGTATAAATATAGGAAGTCCTCGACTTCTCAATCCATCCGAAAATCATTAATCTAGAGCAAACTAAGCAATCAGATTGTTCTAGCCTTTTTGGTTTACTTTCCTTAAGAGTTTTAGGTCGGCGTTCTTATTCCGACGACCTAAACACCATTGTATTCAATCAAGCTCCAGCTTCTTCTAATAAAAGATCTCTTTAAAACCCTCAAAACCCTAGTTCTTTCGTAGATCGAACTTGAGTTTTTACAGTTGGCGCCGTCTGAGGGGAGAAAGAGACTAAATCTTTAAAAGAAGCCGGGCTCAAAGATGGTCGATAAACACCACCGGTTAAACTAAAAAAAAAAATATCTCATAGCTCGACGATGAACAAAAAGACCAGGTCGTCTTCTTAGACCGTGTCTTTCATATCCTTCCAGGTCGTCCTTCCATTCGCTCTTAGGTTGGGACATTTAAAGATGAGGACTTTTAAGTCAGACTTCTGTTATACGCCCCAAGCTATATTTCTTCACCGAGCTGAACGTCTCAGTCCCTGACAAAAAACCCAACGCAAAAAAAAAGGGAATACGGAGCTCACCATACGAGTCTCCGCTTGGAGCGTTCCTATCAATGGCTTCCACCACACGAGATTTGACGACATGAGATACAAAACCATCATCCAAAGAGCAACCACTCGTCAAGATAAGTTTTTAATAATCCGATCTGATATTCTATGTCAATTGTTTGTTGAGTTGTATTAGATTCCTCTTTGAACTTTATTATCAATTACAGTTACACTTCCTTGCTAACCACAAGTATTAACACGATTTTTGCTGCTGCATGATTTGATGTTGAGGATTCAGAAAATTCCTAATCAAAGAAAAAGAAGGCGATTTCAGAAGACTGACCTAATCAGCTCGTCACCCGTGAAGCTCGTCTCCCTCGCAGTTCGTCTCCCTCGCAGCTCGTCTTCCTCGCAGCTCGTCTCCCTCGCAGCTTGTCGCCCTGTCGCAGCTGTACAGATCGTCACCCTCGCAGCTGACAGCTCATAGCTCTCTCCCTGATTATCAGCTCTGCAAATCAGTTTGTCAGCCCTCTGGCCAATTCAGATCGTCACCCTCGCAGCTATGCAGCTCGGCAGCTCTGCCAAAAAAAAAAAAACTGAACAAAATTCTAATTATAAAAAGCCACACGGCTCAAAGTGGAAGCTCTTATACCAAAGGCATACCGTGCTTCACACTTAAAAGGAAAGCTTATCTTCTAAAAGTTAGCTCGGCTCATCAAAGATTCCGACGTGATTAAAACGTCATATGACGAACCCAACATATGAACTCATGCTCCTTCTCTAAAGCATGGTTTACGGCATACGAGTCACAAGGGCAATGAGTTACTGTTAATTTGAGAGATGTCGAGTTGCCTCCGTCATCCAACGTTCACAGCAAAAGAAGTGTGACGAGATTATCAGACATCACTGTCTCATGACATCATTAGATAATACCTAAAGTTTCAAGCTGAAGTAGCATCTAAAGACAGTCATCAATTCTTTACGAGCTCGTCTCCATCAGATCGTTTTCTATACCACAACAGAATTCTAAAAATGAGTTATGCCGAGCTAATAAAAAAAAGGAGGGGGCTAGTACCACCAAGCTAACTCACGCTCAATCTCTCAACTCATCATATTCAGAAATTTTGATGTGGTTTAAATTCATGTGCGCTACTACTAAGGTATTTAGCAAAATTCTAATCAAAGAAGAAAGAAAGATAACTTAGAAGAAGCTACTTTGGTTGCACACCAACAACCGAGGAATCACTCCTTGGGTGCAAATAAGGTCCCGACATATCCACCATCATCTCAGGAGTCTTAAAAAAAGCAGGTCGGGACCCTAAATATGGCAGAAAACCCATTTTGAAACTTTTCTTCTCGGGCAAGAAATCACTGAAACCTGCAACCTGAAACCAAAACATAAACAGTACGGGTTAAGGTTTTACGAGGTAAATTTCGGGACGACCAGAATTATTCAGATCGCGTAAAAGGTGTCTTTGGAAAGCTCTCTCTTCATAGAATCTACAGAATTTTACGGCGCTTCAATCAGAGTAATACTTCTTCAGAAAATCGCTCCACAAGTTAGCAAAAAAACCTGATATTTTTGGAAAACTACTCTCAACACATCATCTTCAGAAGAACGTGGGAGGCTCAAATCACTTCCGATCAAGCCGATATTCGGTCTGCTACACGATAGCATGTCGAACTCCATAATCAACGGTGGGATTGCAAAACGAACGGTGAATTTTCTATATATTCACGTCTTCTTGAAGCTACATGCAGGATAAAACAATGACATATATGTCAAAGTTCTGCTATTGGGAAACGAGCTCGTCAATCTCACAAATCTCTGTCAGCTCGTCACCGAGCTCATAGCGAGTCACTCTGATTAGCTCGTCATACACAGCTCGTCACAACTTCTAGCTCTTCAGCTTCAATCATCCTCAAACAAACCGACCTGCTGCTGAACACAGTTTCTCTCATGCATCAAGAAACAGCAACCAATGTAAAATAAAAAAAATGACGAGCTTATTGTACGGGCTCCCACTCTTTCAAGCCAAGTTCTTCAATAATTCACTATGAGCCACGATGGCGACACGTTGCCATAGTTCTGATTCAAAAGGTACAACGAAGATATCAAGCAAGATACGAGACCCAAAGCAAGAGAGAAAAAATAGGCTCTTAAACTCGAGTTCCCTGTACTCCGACGTGAAAAATCACATCAAGATTTTAACAAATCCAACGCGGTCTTTGCTTTCAAGTCCAAACTCTCCGTCGAGTATTAAATCTCGATCTGCGACTTTATTACCGAGCTTCACCAAAGCTCATCTACCTCACCGAGCTGTAATCTTCTCCACCGAGCCATATCACAGCTCGTTTTCAACACCGAGCTACATCACACAGCTCGTCATGCTTAAGTGAGCTCACCAGCTCGTCATAATTCACTAGCCTCAGCTCGTCAATTTATTGCTTTGAGCTCGTCATCTCGCATCTGAGGTTCATCATCAATGACTCCACCGGTCTTCACCTCATCAATTCATTGTAGCCCACATACTCATGAGCTCATCTCCATCAGCTCGTCCAGAATCTCCAAGTCGTTTGTTCTCCATTCTCAAGAACGAGCTATGTTCTTGGTGACCAATTCACGGAGCTACATTACTAGTCAAATTTCAAGACAGCTTTCTCAAGCTTTAGCTCGGAAACAAACTCCTAAGTCTGAAGAAATAGCTTAAGCGATACACTTCATCCCATTAGCGGTAGTTTCCGCGAGCTCGCACCTTGACGTTTCTTATTAGCTCGTCAGCTCAAGCATATTGTTCGTTCAAGACATACCGATCTGCTCGGTTTTACTATCACAAAAACAAAGAACGACACAAGCACACAAACTGCCCCTCAAGCTTTAAAAGAACTCCTACCAAGGACGAGCTCCTTTGGCAAGCTTACCTTTTCGCTCCTTCACATTCGATACACTGTCCGTTCTTCATGAGTCCTGAGCTCATCACTCTGTTATACTAAGGCAACTCATCAGCTTGTTTTCTACACATCAGTGCATATATTAGATCGTTGGATCATCGGTTTATCAGCTCGTTCGTTCTGCGCAAGCTAGTCGTCTAATCAAATCTCATATGTTGCATGCAAGCTCGTCGTTTACTCAGATGTCGTACGTTGCATGGATTCTTCATGTTAATTATTGCATTCCGCAAAGATCACCTATTGCCGTCCTGCTTAAGTTGTACCTCCATCACTCATGCTTATCAGCATGTAGACTCGTTGATACCTCACGTTCTGATTGCACCATCAAATCTCGATGAGCTCGGCATTCATCTGGAGCTCATTCACGGGCTTTCATAGCACCACAAAAATAAGCCAAGCATCGTAAGCCTCCACCGGGTGAGCATTGTAAGCCTTGCACATTCAAAGCCGATCTCACAATCTCA